TGTGTCAGAGGCAGTGCGATTGGCACAGGATAGAGCAGGGTTTAGGGCTGTTGTACATAGGGTCACTATGAGTCGCAAACGACTCGACGGCACAATAACAACAACAACAACAATCTTAGTCGTCAGAACAGAGCAATAAAATACTGTACGGTTCAAAATTAGGAAAGATGTGCACCAGGGATGCATCCTATCTCCATATCTCCAATCTCTATGCAGAACAGATCATCTGAAAGGCTGGGCTCTATGATTAGGAATGTGCCATCAGGATTAGAAGAACTCATCAACAGCCTATGTTACACGGATGGCACAACCTTGATTGCCAAAACTGAGGAGGACCTGACGGCAACCTTCAATATGGATTGAAGCTCAACATCAAGAAAACAAAGACTCTCATGACTAGGCCAACTGACAACACTATGATAGATGGAGAAGAGATTGAGTTTGTTAACAGCTTAAACTTCTTTGTCTCTGTAATCAACACTCTTGGTATCAAGAGCCAGGAAATCAAAAGACAAATTGCACTGGAAAAATCTGCTGTCAGGGACCTCTCCAGAGTACTGAAGAGCAACAGTGTCAGTCTGGAGACTAAGGTGCACCTGATCCAGGCCATCCTCCTTGCAATTACTTGCTATGTATCAGAAAGCTGGACAATGACTAAGGATGATAGAATAATTGATGCTTTTGAGTTGTGGTGCTGGAGAAGAGTACTGAATATATCATGGACTGGTAGGAAAATAAACAGATTCATCCTTGAGAGGGTGAAACCAGGCTGCTCCTTGGAGGTAAGGGTTTTTATATACTTTGGACATGTTGCAAGAAAAGACTGGTCCTTGAAAAGGGACATCATGCTTGGAAGGGGGAGGGACAGTGCAAGTGAGGAAGACTTTGGATTAGATAGATTGATTCAGTGACTGGAGTAATGGTGGTTAGGTGTGTTAGAGACAATGAAATTGGTTCAAGGTAGAGCAGGTTTCCGGTCTGTTGTACTTATGGTCAGTATGAGAGGCTCAACAGTGAATAACAATGACAACACGTGTTCACTACATCATTCCTGTTTTTATTATGTTGTTGTGTACTGTAGAGTCGAAATTGACCCAGATCGGACCCTTGGCAGGTTTTCAGAGACAATTAAGCGCATGGGAGGATAGTTTGTACTATTTTAGGTTTTATATTAGTTGGTATAACTGGGTAGGCTACTTTTTGTGTCTGAGAATGTTAAAAATGTTTCCATTTAGGGAACAGCCCAAATACCCAACAACAATCAAATGGATTGAGAAATTATGGTACATCCACATGATAGAACACTAAATAGCATGCAGGAGCAATGATTTTGTAAATTACTACTTAGCTTGGGAGGGAGTAGAGAGCATTATGCTAAGTGAACTAACTCAGTTCCATAAGGACAAATATTGTATAAAACTATTATTGTAGAATTAATATGAGGATCCTGGGGGCGGGAGGAAAGGATGAAGATGGGCATGGAGGGGTGAATCATAAGGTCGCACAGTTTGATGGATGGGGGTGAGTGGGTAAAGGAAAATGGGAAAGATCCAGTGTGAATAGCAATGTATACGAACTTTGTAAATAAACCAATATAAAGGAAAAAGTTTCCATATAAATTATAAATTAAGGGCAATTGCTTCTTTAATTTTTTATTATTAATTTCAATGAAAATTTACAGAGACTTTGGATTTCCATTCATTCATTGTTGCACTTTTCTCCCTGTCCACCCCTTCTACCCAGGTCCACTCCACTATGCAGACTTCACTCTGGATTCCTGTCATGACAAAAATAACTAATAATATATCCCTATTAAACAGTTTTCTCCCTCATCTGTTTCAATGCAGTATACATTATTGAACTCATCTTTCTCAGTCTCCTCCCAACCCCGATGTCAATCCTGTTTTACAGCAGTGGCACCTGCAGTAATTGTCCTTTTGTGACTGAGATACTTCACTCAGTATAATGTCCTTCAGGGTCACCCATTTTTAATAATATTATTGCATGAGTTCCTTGTTTTTCAATGCAGTGTAGTAGTCCATTGTGTGAATATACCACAGCTTCTCTATCCATTCATTTAGCAATTGCTTCTTTACATAGTTTTGGTTTGTGCAAGACTTCGTAGAAACACCCTTCTTTCAAACTTCAGGGGAAATCTGCATTCTGGTTGTTCAGAGGAAGATATGACCAATTGTTACTGATAGTAGAAATGAAAAATCATATCCCATTGTATTCAGCCTAAAAAGAGATTTGTTTTGCCAGCAATCATTTAATATTATGATATTAAATTACATTGTATAATATGAAATATTTTGAGATATTCATTACTACTCCAAAGGCTTAAAATTGGAATATATCACATAAAAATATTCATTTCTGACTTCTCTTGAATAGTCTGAATATTTAAAAAAAAGAGATCCACATTTCTCACATCGACAATTTGCTCGGTAGCCCCTGTCTCCCACCACACACACACATCCTCCATGCTCGCCTGTTTGCAGTTTCAACAACTCTCTTATATTTTAGATAATCGGTTAAAAAAAAATCAAACTGATTACTCACGGAATTTGTTCCTACACAGAGCACCCCTCCATCCAGCTTCTGAAGCTGTAAATCTTTCAAAGGGAACTGCCCATCCCTTGCCCTCAGCTCCCAGCTGCCTTGAGTCACTGAGCCGCTCAGCCTCTGAGTTAGCAGAGCTTCCCTTGCACCTGAAGTTCACCCCTTCCCCGGACCCCCTGCACTTCACTCACCCATCTGATTCTCATGAATATTTGCATCTATGTCTTCTAGAGCTGACAAGGAGGGCTCAAAAAGCGGAGATTTCTAGGCCGACAAGGTGAGGAAGATGCTCCAGAAAAAAAGGAAATTGGATTGTCAAAGGATGAAAGTGAAAGTGCATTGCATGGCAGAGTGAGGCGAAAGACAGAGAGAACAGGTGGAGAGAGGAAGTGAGAGACACAAACACACTCACACAGAGCGCTGAAGATTATACTGGGAAGATAAGAAGTAGGATAAGTAAAAATATGAAGAGCATTATCTGTGATGATGTGATTACCTGTCATGAGAAAGTGACATGACGGAAGCTACAAAAACATTTAAACAGAAAAGTGAACAATCCTGTCTTTTAAAAGCTTTCTCTGTTGATCTTTGCTTATGCAAAGGCATTTGACCATGGAGATCATATAAAATTAAGAACAACATTGAAAAGGATGGGAATCCTAGAATATTTTGTTGTGTTCATATGAAATCTATTCATAGGCCAAAAAAAGCAACTGTCTGAACACCACAAGAGGACACGGCATGGCTTAAAATTAAGAAAGAGGGTTGTATCCTTTTTCCATACTTATTCAATCTGTATGCTGAACAAATCATTCGAGAAGTTGGACTTTATGAAGATCTTTTATCAAGATCAGAGGAAGACTCATCAAAAACTTGTGTTACACAGATGACACAACCTTGTTTCATAAAATGAAGAAGACTTGACACACTTGTTGAACTTAATCAGACTAGAATCTTCAATACAGATTACATCTCAACATCAAGAAAACAAAATTTCTTACCACTGAACATAGAGGCCACAATATGATAGATGTCAAATAGATTGAAGTTGTCAAGGATTTCATTTTACATGGATGCAAGACTGGTTTTTTTACAATCAACATCAATGGTAACAGCAGTCAGGTACTGAAAAGACCTGCTGCATTGGGAAAATCTTCTGCCTATTCTTTAAAGTCCTAACAAGCAAGAATATCAGTTTAAAGACAAAGGTGCAACTTATCCAAGCTGTAGTATTTCAGTTGCTTTCTGTGCACCAGAAAGTTAAATAATGAATAAGGAAGACCAAAGACAAATTGGTGCCTTTGACTTGTAGTGTTGGAAAAGAGCAATGGATATTTCCAGAACTGCTAAATGAACAAACAAATCTGTCTTCGCTGAAGCACTGCCAGGATGCCCCTTAGAGACAGACTTTTGTCTCATATACTTTGAGCATGTTGTCAGTAGGGACCAGTGGTTGGAAAAGACTTTATGGTAGGAAAGATAGAAAGTCAGAGAATGTGAGGAAGACCTGTGTTAGATGCACTGGCACAATGGCATAACAAACATAATAAACTCAAGCATGGTGAGATCCCAAGAGTAGCCTAGGACAGAGCCAGGGTTAGCTCTGTTGTTTGTAAGGTCGGATGAGTTGTAGTTATCTAACAACACTGACATGCCTATGGTTATAACGACATTTAGGAATAGATTGTCTTAATTGTGTTATTAAGACAGGATAAGTATAAAAATAAAAAGAGAATTGATGCCTTTGAGTTGTGGTGCTGGAGAAGAGTGTTGAATATACCATGGACTGCTAGGAGAACAAACAGGTTTGTCTGGAGAGGGTGAAGCAGAATGTTCCCTGGAGTCAAGGATTCTGAAGCTTCATCTGACATACTTTGTGCATGTTGCAAGGAGGGACTGGTCCTTGGAGAGGGACATCATGTTAGGGAGAGTGGAGGGACGGCGCAGGAGAGGAAGACCCTTGATGAGATGGATCGATTCTGTGAGTGGAGTGGTGGGAATGAATGTGTTTAAGACAGGAAGGTTGGCACAGGATAGAACGGCATGTAGGGCTCTTGTACATATGGTCGCTATGTTCGCTATGACTTGATGGCACATAACAACAACAACAAGTATAAAGTGTGTCTTGAGTCAATCACTTCTGAGATATAAAATAAAGTAAACAGCCAAATTATTGAAGAGTAATGATGTCAGTTTGAGGGCTAAGGTGTATCTGATTCAGGCCATGGTCTTTTCAGTCACTTGCTATGCATCTGAGAACTGAAACAGGATGATAGATGAATTGATGCTTTTGAGATGTAGTGTTGGAGCAGAGTACTGAACATCCCAAGGGCTGCCAAAAGAACAAATGGCTCTATCTTGGAGAAGGTGTAGTCAGAATGCTCCTTGGAGGCAAAGATAACAAAGCTTCATGTCACACACATTGGGCATGTCGCGAGGAGAGACTATTCCTTGAGACGGACAACATGCTTGGAAAGGCAGAGGGTCAGCTAAAGAGAAGGAAACCCTCAACCAGGTGTATTGCCACAGGAACTGCCACAATGGGCTTCAGTGTGCCAGAAAGCGTGAGCATGACACAGGATAGGATAGGGTTCAGATCTGTTGTTCATTGGGTCACTATGGCTCATACTTGACTCAGCAGCACCTAACAATAAGGTGCTGTAAATGAAATATTCTGTTACTTGTAGCCTAAAACATTTAAAACATTTTAATTCAGTTAGTAAGTTTATTATTTGAAATGTTCCAAATAGTGAAAGGCAAATTAATTAGTTAAGCGTAAGCAGTTGATAGTAACTTTCTTGATTCCCCAACTTCAGATCTGTTTGCATGCATCACTCTGCATGTAGGATTTATTCTTCCCTCTCTCGAAAAGAGAGAGTCTTTACATAAGTGCCCCGGTTACATTCCAATATTAAAATAAAATTAAAAAAACCCTAATGGCAGCGTCTCTTTTCTTAATTATTTTCTAATTTACAAACAACATTTCTCTGTTCTTTAATTTGTAGCACCTTCAAAAATAAAGTCTATGTTATTTGACCAATTTTGGATCTTGAGTAGCCTAGTAGAATTTAATCTTTTCCTAGGGATTTATTGGATTTTTCATTAGAATGCCTGGGGCAAAGGAAATTTAGTGAAGTTGCCTGCTATAGAAGGCGTAAAACATTTAGTCATGGTCGTGGCTCTTAAAGACTTTTGGGTCAAAGACTCCTTTGAAAATCTGAGGGCACTATAAGTTTTCTTTGAAGATACAGCCCAACTTTGTGAACATAACTGAAGTCCATTCATCCCCTCAAATACTGGATGCAATGGGAGCCAAGGTTAAAAGGTCTCACCACAGTTTCCACCTCTAGCACTTCTGTTCCTTCTAGAGATTAAAAGCGGTGCTAAGGAGACAAATCAATGCCTTTGACATATCTTCTGATCAGCTAGCATTGTGAGAAGTCCCTACGCATGCTTCTAATCTTTATCAGAATTCAACCAGTACAGCTCAGTTCAGTTTTGGCAATGACTCACTTTTTAAGGTAGGTGCCCTGGCAAATGTGGTTCATAGTTCCATGTTTATTGTGTCCAACTGAAAGCATGCTTTACCAATGCATCTCGCCACGGTGACACCAAAGTGCCATAAAGGATATAGGAATGCTAAAACAGCTAAACAGAGGAAATGTTATTCTATTTCATCCTCACAGGAGTTAGACAAGATTATGAAATATGACTCCCATTTTACAGATAACAAATAAGTGACATGATCATGGTCATGCAGGTAATAAATCTCAAAGTACATATCTCAGAATGGCTGAGCCTATGTTTTTTACCCTATTTTTTTCTGCATTCCAACTGAAATAATTTATTGATTTTATAATCTCAATCCTAATTATCAACCCCAAATTAAACAAGATAATGAAATCTCAACACAAATACTCTTGGTTTCTAGAATGATTTCAATTAAATAAGACAAACTCACAAAATGCATTAAAATCCATTGGCATTGAAAGGAGAAAAAGATGTCTTTTCATTTAATTGTTAAAATTCCCCCTCTATATTCTGCCCACATAATACTCAACTAATAATAGCCTATTTCACTCAGTGTCAGCAAAGAATACAGAATGCTGTAATCCACATGTGTGTTATTTTGTTGCACATGTCTGCAAACTATAATTAACAGATAACTGCTTTAAACATCAGTTAAACATTTTTCAGAGATTTTTTTTTCATGCTTACAGAAAATCCAGAAGCAAATAGCTTGGGGGTGGGGGGGCGGGGAACATTGAGGACAAAAAAAAAAAAGAAAAACAAATCCTGTTCTATCTTACATCAAAATTTGTCTTTGACTAAATCTGTCATCAAACTTGCTAACTCTTTTTAAACAATGTATGAAAAGGTACGATTTGAAGCAAAGAACATACTCATCACAAGCATGGACATCAAAGAAAATGAGTGGTATCAAAGAAGACAGCAAGAGAAGGACATAGAAAAAGAAAACTAAAAAAAAAAACCTCCCTGAATTTAAAAATAAGAATAACTTTCATGACCTAGCCAAGAGTCATTTTGTTAGTGATGCATGTGGAAGACAAACTGTGCTGAGTTTAAAAAAAATTAAAACACTTTCATATAAGAGAGTATTTTTTGAGATTCTTCTCTAAGTGAGGATTCAAAGATATGTCTACAAGAGAAACAAGTTGGCAAATAATATGAATATATAGCATGTATTTCTATTTGCAAAAATAAGACTCTAAATATATATAAAGAGATATATGCAGATACAAACAGAAGATATTTGCATGCATAGTTACAAATGCATGCAATAATTGTCTGAAAATACACAGTTATCCCAGAACTCTTTTGGGGTTTCATTTATCTCTGATTTTAGATAAGATTGTCACAGATGGTTCCACACAAGCTCAGGTTCATACTGATGTCTCACCAGAAGAGCATGTATGTGGTTATTCTGGTCTCTGCTGTGATGTCTTAACCTGCAAACAAGAGCTACCCAGAAGGACAAGAGGATTCATGATACACTTGGGAGGAACTCTTAACTGCTAAAAACCAGAGCTAATGTGTAAATACCAGGTCACCCAATTACTTACCACTTAGAGCATTCTAAAGAGATCTGGTATCATGGTGCTTAACATGCTGGGCAGCTAATGAAAAGGTCAGCAGTTCAAATCCGTCATGGAAGAAATATGGGCAATCTCCATTCATAAGTATTTGTTTGCAGTCTTGGAAACCCAATGGAGAGGCACTGTGAGTTAGAGTCAACAACAGTGAGTTGGTTAAAACATTATCATTGATATGGGAAGTTCATTACTCCTAACATTATAAGGTAAATTAAATAGTCAAGCTGATCCCCAATGAGAGAGAGAGTTTTTATGTGAGAATCCTAGCTTACTGCATTCAGTACTTTGGAAAGGGGATGTAAATAGTCTTCAGACATACTGATGAAAATGGGCTCAATCAATAAAGCAGCATGAAATTCTCCAAGGGGATTGAAAGATCTTTAGTGGGCACCGACCATAAATAAATTACTAATGTTTTCCACAATATTTTTCTTAACTAAATTTCCTTTGCCTCAGGAATCCTAATGAAAACCTTGTGTTGTTGTTGTTATGTGCCATCAAGTCACTTGTGACTCATAGCGACCCTATGTACAAGAGCTCCATACGCTCTTCTATCCTGTGCCAACCTAGCTGTCTCAAACACACTTATTCCCACCTCTCCAGTCACAGAATCGATCCGTCTCATCAAAGGTCTTCCTCTCCCTCGCTGCCCCTCCACTCTGCCAAACATGATGTCTCTCTCCAAGGACCAGTCCCTCCTTGCAACATGCCCAAAATATGTCAAACAAAGCTTCAGAATCCTTGACTCC